TTGGGTCTTGTAATTTATTGCGATATGGATGCACCGAATACGTGGGCGATCATCAAATCAATACACAGACAAAGAGAGTTGTATACGCATTTGGGAGTTTCGGGTAACCGAAATGATTTACAATTACGCCGTCCCTTCAACGCTGCGTACAGCAATTCCGATGAAATGGCTACTAGACTACTGAACTCGGATATCGCAATGAAACGATCTACAAGTGCCATTTATTGTCCATTTATTGTGCCATTAATCAGCCAAACACATACCCCGTCGAAAGGCACCAACTCCCGAGTATAAACTGCCTCTTGGCTCATCCTGTGACAGGCATCGGGAGAAAAAAAAACGTCCCGTCCGTCCATGTATAAACGCACCATTCCGTGGGTGGGAAAAACAGCAGCTTCCCTCGCCACCTTGGGCTCCTTCACTTTGTACTTTGGTTCGCTTTCGAAATAGTGTCGCGCATAGTTTACAGTATATTATGCACACACCGAACGAGTCGATAAGGGACGGGGCCACGTTATCACTCTCGCGCTCGCGTTTTGGCCTACTTGTGCCACTCTCGCTTTTGAATGTACGGCTTGCCTCTACTGCGTAGGTATATACATGTTAGTGTACCGCACTTTTATGCGTGTGCTTCAGATTTTTCGTTTTGTTTTCAGAGCGAGTGCGCAGTGGAAAGACACACGCGTACGTACGCAAGTTGCGATGTAGTGCGCAATCGACAAGGGGTAAGCTTGACTGATGTATTATGTTGGTTGTTTTTTTTTTTTTTTTTTTTTCGGTGGTGATAATGGTATACTGACTTTGAACGTAATCGCGCCACGCTGGCGTTTGATGGGGGAATGGACGCGTTGATTGTGCCTTAGAAACTAGGAAATCGTAATTACAGCTATAGCATGCCCGAAAAAAAAAAAAAAAAAAAAAAAGAGAAAGGCCCTTCGCGTTCGCTGACGGTGTTTTAATTCCAACGCGTACTTAAAGTCGTATACGAGCAATTTGAAGTAGATGCGAGAGAGAATAGATATACATGGGGTCATTTGGTGCGTACCGTATACATTGTTTGTGATGATGATTGCCGGTGCGTAATGGTGTAAGACTCGGGCTTTTTTTTTGTTCCAAACACAGCTTGCGCTGGAGCGTACGAGCATAGGAAAAAAAAAAAAAAAAAAAGAGCGCGTATCAAATCGGTGTGTTTGGAGGAAGGAGAAAAAAAAAATTAGACCGGCGCACCGATAAAATTTCATTGTAACCCAGATAAACATCGCATGCTTCCTATACATAATGTTATGTACACTGAGACGACGTCGGTGAGCGTGTACGCATAGGTGCACGTGTGTTTTAACTCGAGAGACAGTCTCTCCCGTTGTACTCTTATTAGATCACGTACGTATAAGATTAGACGCGTGTGTGCGTACCTTGGATACATAGAGAGCAGCTAGACTCGTGGTGGAAGTGAGGGGGCCCAAGGGGGTGGGGCTGAGAGGAGGAAATAACGTATAGTCGAGTCACGCGGAGAAACGAGCCCGCGAGAGTAGAGGCCTTATCTGCGCCAGCTCGACCCTATTTTACGTTCGAGAGATTACGGAGAGCAAACGCTCGCGCGACGTGTGCCTGCACTTGATTTTCCAACGCCCGATAGATTGTGACTCTCTCTCTCACGTGTCAATTTGTCGATCTCTCGGTTCGTTATTGTCCGACGTCGATTTGTACATGTACGAACTGGTGCGTCGGGACTGTCGAAACTCACCGACTGCAAGATCGTTTGGGAAATCGGGATCTTCCTGAGGACCGATTTATCTTTTCCTCTCGAAAATTGGTCCATCGACCAACAATCGTGGTATTTCATAATTTTTCTCAAGGATTTGTACGTTAAATGAAATCGCATGCAAACAAAGCAATAAGATCTTGTGGCGTCGTTGTCAACTAATGACAATTAAAAATGATAAATGGGGGTTACCTCGCACCGAGAGAGTGAACAAAAAAAGGGGCATGGTCGACTGGATGTATGGAGTGTCATGCACGCAGAACGAGGTGGAGGGACAACTGGCATTTTCTATGTTGTTTGATGCGCTATGGATTTATTCGACGCGAATAAACGCGGAAATTCGCGAAACAAATACATTCGAGTCTCGTCAAAAATGAAAATTCGAGTTTGGACCGGAGACTAGAGTGGAACGGCTTGAAAAACGAAAAGGAAAAGTCGGTGGCTCCTTTGTGACGTACGTTGGATGTAAAAGGGTACCAGGTTATAATAACAGGCGTCTGTGTTTAGTTAATTCCGATGCCGTGATGGTCTGTAGTACAACCAAGCATATAGGAAAACACGTCTCGAAGGTAAAACTTTCGAAGCGTCGAGTGTACGGTATACCTCGTACGCTCGGGAGAAAAGCAAAGAAAATTGTTATCAAACGTCACGCTCGTGACCTGCTTACCTTTCAATGGAGCCCCATCTTATGTATGGTAGGTACTTCGAGGAGTCACATATATTTTCCAAAGGACGCGAGTTGGGAATCCGTCCCACGTTAGTTTCACTTGTATTGCGGATGTTTAGCTTGGAAAATGCTTGTTACAGGAACTAAAATAATTAATTAAATTCAAAAAAACGAAAACTGTAAGGAAACATTGGCACGACACAAATTTTTTAATGCAAAAACAAACGAGATATAACGAAAGTGGCGTACATGTACATATTTTGTACGCTTTTATACACACGTGTTGTAACGAAGAGATAACTTTGAAAATAATATCCAATACACTAGGCCACGATAGCTAAATATGAAAGTTTCACGTATTGTCTGATAAATTTATTCAAACAGATGTATATTTTCGCTCGTTATGCAATGTAGGTGTGCTTGTCGAGTATCACGAAAATAAAATCAGGCATCATTTTTCGGGCGACTCAAGCATACTCGTATACGCGGTATACGAAGTGAAAATGATGGTTACCATTTTTCCGTGCGCCTATAGTGTTCAATTTTATGGTCTTTGTGAGTGTGCTCAGCAACTTGCGACGATTTTCGAGAGCCGGCGTAATAATGTGCTCGTATCGTATGTGTGTCTGTTCGTTCACGTGTGCCTGTGTGTGTTCATTCGTGGGGGATTGCGAAATTAGGTCGTTAGAAATTGAGCGTCGGTCTCTCTCCACGAATACCAACAGCCCCCCCCCTCCCCCTCACTCTTTCGTTCTTTCTCCATCCATCTCCTCTATTTCCCTCTTTCTCTATCTGCGGCCCCCCCTCTTCTCCCCCTCCGCGTCGTTCATCGCTGGCGCTGAAGCTTCTCCCTTTTTCTATTCATTCAGCGACTTTTCTCTGCCTCCACAATATACCAATCGTCACATTTGGGGCTTAGTTTTTTTTTTTTTTTTTTTTTTTTCCTCAAGAAAACATATAACTCTTTCGGAAACTATTTTTATCTCGAATCTCAAATACGTGCCGTCGCGACAGCTGGTTGAAAATTCCTCTTGCGTTATTGAGAAATAGGACGTATACCTTGGCAGCTGGGTAAAGCTATAGATGGGTACCAGAGTTCACTGGACAAATTTGGCATGGTAAAACGAGAAAAAAAACAAAAAAAATTCGATAGCAGGGCAAAACACACGATGACAAGAGAGACCGTATATACTTACCAGATGCATATCGCACGTGAGCCCCCTCTCACTTTTATTATCTTTCGGTCTCTCAGGCGCCTCGTGAGCCGGGGCGCATTGGGCAACTCCGGGCCATACACATCCAGTGCCCACGTGCACGCTCGACTTTTGTCATTCCGCGACTCCCCCACCTCCCTCCTGCTCCTTTTTCCCCGTTCGAGCGACTCGGATCTTCCCGAAATCTTTTCTCTCTCGCTCTCTTTGACAGAAGGAGCGCTCACTTTTTTTTTTTTACTTTGCTCCACGGTTTTCGGCCTATCCTGCCGCCCGTATTTCGGCCGATCCGAATCGCTTTCCTCTCGGCTCCGCATAAAACTAGAGACTCGTCCGAATCCCAATTGTTGCAGGCGAGGCTTCATTAACTTTTATTTTTGCTTTAGACGGGCAATCGTTGATTTTTTTGCCAACCAACTTTTCGGGGGAATCGGTTATCATTTCATTCGCGTCCTCCACGCCCTATGTCTTGGCAAGCCGTTCCATGATAGGAATAACCGGGCACACGAGAAAGCACGGCAAAGGCTATCGGAGCTTGAGACTTGCGTAAGCACCTTTTCTTGGACCCCCATGTACCTATTATGTACGCAACATAATGTGAGCGCGAGTACATGCTCCCGAGACTCGCGGAACGACATTGTACTTACATCTTGTACCGTATAGGTACGCCGAAACACACGTGTACACCATAGTGTATGCGTGGTGGCCCGCTTTTGTTGGCCCTCGCTACGTACACCAGATACGATCCGCCGTTCGAAGGTTTCGCTTTTCATGCGATTAATAGAACTAGGTACAAAAAATAAACGTATACGGTTGAATTTAAATTTTTTATTTTGGCGTTGCGCAAGTACTCCCAAGAGAGTACGCGAATTTTCCATGGATGCATCATTTTTGAGATGTGGAAAAGGCTTTTGTTGATTTGCAATGTATTTAACGCCTCGCCGGGGACAAGTCAAGGGAGCGGAGAGCAATTTTTAATGCTTAATTGGTCGCCTAGTGTTCGCGCGGGGCAGCGAGCCAATTTTTCGGCCGTACCCTCGCGTATTTCTTACGCTTCGCGTAATTGCCTGTCATTTTTTATATTTTCGAGTTTATAGGAAAAAGCTTCGTCGTTCCATCTCTTTGTCCGCGTTTCGGGGGGGGGGGGGGGGATAAATAAAGTGTGTCTACACGCTTGTTTTGAAAACATTGGTGAAATGATGTTTTGAAATGTCTGGCTCGTGAAAACTAGAGCAAAGCTATAAGATATTGTTTTATTTTTTTTGTAAACTGATAACTTTCATATTTTTTTGGCACGTAAATATTATAACTAAGAGAACGTAACTTTTTGCAAAGTTCATAAATAATTTATTTTTTCCAGGTTACACAAGCCAATCGTCTTTGGTGCCATTGGAATGACTGCCATTTTGACAAGAAACTGTTTGTGACGGCTACCGCTGAGGTAAAATTATAATTAAAAAATTAATACAACGCACACGGCTCGTCACATCGTTACAATTATCTAAATTCGCGTACGTCGAAACAAAGTATGAGGAGAAAACAACTTTTTTCAATTGTTATTTTTTAACAGTTATAATTTCGTTCCGCAATCGTTTAAAACGAGTTTTCCACTGCAGTGGCCGATTAGTCGCTTTTAATATATAACACTCGATAAAAGTAACAATGCTCATCGTTATCACTCATCGTACTCCGGTGAAAATGTTGCGCTCAATCAACTCGTAAAAGTATACAAATGTTTTTCCTCGTGCTTGCAAAAGCTCGCAATGCCTTTAGCCATTACTCGTTACTTTTTTCTAATTTTCAACCTGCCAAAAAAACCGCCCACATTGCACTTTCCTCGGGCTTCCACTTGAAATTATTCCGACATCCAACGCAGGCCAGTGAAAAGTTTCACACGCGTCAACCGGATAAAAACTTGAAAATGAAAAACTCCACTCATACGTAGCACGTGCCTTCCATCATCCTTATGAATTCACTATTTCCCATTGGCGCCCATGAGGATTCGTTCTCATGCTCATCATCATTATCATCCACAGCGCAGCGATGACTCCAGCGATGTGGCGAGCTCACGTTTTTCACGGAATTTTCGCGCACTCGCCGAGCGTGAGCGCATTAAATTAAAAATAGAAAAGCTCGAGAGAGAGAGAGAGAGAGAGATAGTTACGAAGGCGACTCGCACGCGAGACCTTGAGAGTGGTTCGCTCGTCTATGTGTACATATCATATAGTTACGCGTGCATTGGATAAGAGAAAAAGGAAAAGGAAAAATACAAGTGCGGACGGGAAAAAAGTGTGTCTACGCATATTACGTGCGAGGACCATCTCCCAAGAGCGACAAAATCGAGGCGTGAAACGCGAATGCATATACTTACATGTATTTATTGTAGCCTCGGCCAACTTGGATAGCCCTCGTTCTTTCTCCTTCTGCCGGTCGCCGTAAAAAACCGAGGTTGTTTTCTTTTTCTCCTCCTTTTCAAACTATATGACGCTCGTTACGTCACCTCCTCCATCGTCGCGCTCGTAATGTACTGTGCATCGGAGTATGGGAGCCAATAAAATTCCAGATTAAATATCATTACCATGTCATTACAATCAAATAAATTGCCCGTGTGACTTTGAAAAAACATTGCAACGTGTGTGCACGTACATGTATACAAACAGACGGACATGCAAATGTAGTTTCATCGTCATCGTCGTTGTACTTACTTAAAACAAAGAGTTGAAAGAGAGAAAAATGCCGCACTGCAGACCCGTGGAAAGAGTACATCTGCACCAAAGAGGAGACAAACGGTGACAGCTATGCTTCCTTCCATCTTATACTTGCTGCTTATGCTGCTTTACCTATACGCTTACATAATCAGTGCGATCAGAAAATGTACCTACGTACATACATCATTTTGTGTGGGGCCACCGGTATCACAATTTTTAATAAATCATTGGCATAAAATACTTTTAGGATTCACGTAATAAGAAGTATCTACTCGAACGAAATAAGTATAGGCTCAAGGGACGATATTGTTACGTACACTTATTTATTTAAATTTTAGTGGCTACAAATTTCTACACTTTTCCTTCCCTTTGCTCTATACGACAGCTGCATGCCTTCTTCGCACGCACACGTGAAACTTGGACTATTTCGGCCTTGAATGGCAGTAGCAACAATGCGCGGATGTGTGTATATTTTGTACGAGAGGTATATAGAGGCGGAGGTGAGTGCGAGCTCGAGCTCTGAATCACACAAAAACGTGATGCGCTGTTATAGATGGCTGTTCGTGTAGTACATTGGATTAGAGACACAAGAGTGTACACATCTATGGTACGTATGCGTTGTAGAATTCAATCGATGGATTATGTCTACGAGTTTATTTTCTCTATTACCTAATACTCGTTAATTTCGTAATCTAGTTGTGACGTTTTTTTTTTTTTTTTTTTTTTTTTCAAGTGGCACTTTATTANTTTTTTTTTTTTTTTTTTTTTTTTTTTTTTTTTTTTTTTTTGGACTCGTAATTATAGATGGTAATGAATGCAATTTCTTCCATTGAGAAATTCAAAACGAAAACAAACCAGTGATGTGTCCAAAACAACCAAAGCAAGGATGCGCTCACGTACGACATCACGTACGGCTTTCTTGTGAAACCTTTTTTTTTTTTTTTTCTTTTTTTTCTTTTCTTTTCACTCAAAGTTATGATTGATTCCGATGACGCAACCCCCGAAACTCGGCAGACGTTAACGCCACGCGAGCACGTCGAATTGTTCCTCGAGTGTGAAAAAAAGAAGACCCAAAGAAGAGGCTCCGAAGAATCGAGAGCGAGAGTGTATACGTATAATACACGCGCATTCCTCTCCTTTCCCCCGTGCGTATAGAAGAAGCATAGGTGTACGCGCATCCTTTCTATTATGTGCGCGGGGGCCCCACCTCAAGGCCACCTCGGAAGAGAGGGTCAACAAGGAAAAAAAAAAAAAAAAAAGGCCCCTCGACACGAGATCACACTCTCGCGTTTGTTCGCTCCTCTCTATTTTTTTCCATCTCCGTTTTACACTCTCCTTCTGCGCCTCTCGGTTCTTTGAGCGGAGCGACCGATTCGATAACTTATTTTTCAGCGAACCATAAATTCGTACCGAAGCCATAAAACAGAAAAATCTTCCGCGAAGCGCTATATACGAGCGGACGCGAGAGAAAAGGGACAGTCTCTGTATTCCCGGACCTCTCGCACCATCGACTACTATATACTCGTAATTAATCACCTCCCCATACTTACGTATACACGTACGTACGACCCATTGGTTCGCGGAAGCTTTATCTATCACTGCGGTATACCTAGCTGCAGAAGCCAATAAAAAAAAAAAAACCTCATACAAATTGCTCCTTTCCATGACGTGGCGGGTGCTCGCATTAGAAAGTTACGTACCCATAAACGGAAAGCCTTCACAGCCAGTTGACCCCTCTTCTTTTTTTCTTCCCCAAGTCTTCCTTTCCCTCTCGAAATATCGCATTGATTATTCTTCTATCGCGAAGGTCATCCTTGGGACGAATGCTCCCCGTGTGTATCAAATTTCTCATTGTGCAAGGCAGGATGGCCTGGATGCATGTGTTTACGTTCCTCCCCCGCTGGCGCACCGCGAAATGAAAAAAAAAGGGAGGAAACGGAGAGGACTCGCGTCAAATACCATCAGCGAAGAGACAATGGACGGGCGTAAGAGGATACGCGGGTGCGTGTCGCCCCCCCCCCATCCTTGCGAAAGAAAAGGGTTAAAGGGCCCGAATCGAGCCGTGAATAATGACGTTACGCAATGTAGTTCATCCCCCCGGGGACGGAGCCTATACGTATACAATGGGTGCGGATACTTTCGAAAGAGAGAGGGAGGAAGCTCGTGTAACCGGAAACCCCCGTCCAGATAGCCCCGCCCTGCTAGTTTTTTTACTGCGCGCAGGTGAACCCACCCCCCAAGGTCGCGCTCGCATGCGGGGCATTATGACTTTATTGAGGGTCATGCGCGTGGTAGCTAGGATAACGTGAAACTATAGGGGCTCTCTCTGTTTGCTCGAGGCGCCTCTCCATCTCTTCGATTCTGCTGATGGGGATTCCTTTTGGGTTTGGCGGGCATTGTGTAGGTGCGAGCGTATAAATTATCGCGCTGATTATACACGGAGAGATGCGCCACGTTTGAAAGTATGCGTGTGTCCGAGTTTGCCCGGGAAAAGTAGTAAAAACACACGCGTGATTTACCGGCCTTCGTGGAATGAGAATTTTCACTCGCCTCGTAAGGCCCATCGTGTGCTCAGGGCCCCATTGTCCGTTTGCTCCAGAAACGCGCTTCACCCCCCCCCCTCATTTACGACCCGTATCTTTCCTTTTATTTTTATTGCTCCTTTTTTTTCCTCCCGAGACCAAAAAGATGTTGTTTTTTTTTTTTTCCTCCTCTCCAAACAACTCGCACCCCTTTTTTGTGCAGCAGCGTGTGCCCTTTTTGAGGAGCCCGAAAGCATAGGGAGAAAAAACGGGGGTGGGAGGGCTCGAATTTTATTGTTTCTACTCTCGCTTTGCGTAACTGGGCTTTCGCTTTCCACCCCCCGTTCGAGCAAGGACGCGCGCGTCCAGCAAAACCAGCTTCACGATTTCCATAAATGCAATAGACCAATCATCAAAGGAGCAGCGGCGTTGGTGAAAATTCGAGGCGCTGCCGTATATACGGATTTGCACCCTCGGGGGATTAGAAATTGACCTTCGTGCGAGCTTACGACGCGTTGCGCGTAAGTCGAGCGATGGGGGTTTGGGGGAGCCAAAAATGATGCACCTATGTAGACTCGAAAGCGAACAATAAAGGAGAGCAAAGGGAAGACGCGCAGCAGGAAGAGCCGGGATATTGGAGCGGTAGTTGCGTAAGCGAGTGTAGGAGACCCCTTTCGATGATCTTGGGAATTTTTGCCGAGCCCTCCCCGACATAAGGTGCTCGAGGAAGCGGCTTGGAAGGTAAAAGAGAGAAAGAGAGCGAGCCGCCAGGGTAATACGCGTGTGTATAATATGGTTGCACGCGACCTCGGGATTCTCTCTGTTCGCACTGTGCCATCGCCAAGGACACGAAAAATCGTGCGTGCTGTTCGGCCTGTGACGTAATGTGCGGAATTTCTCCTTTACCATAAAAATAAAAAATAAAAACCTCGTGAGGGAGATAGAAAGAAAAGGGATGGGGAGGATTTTCGGGGTGCGTGTCGGTAAACGCTCTGCCGACGTATGCATTATAATATAAACAGCAGAAGGTATGGCCAAAGATTCCGGGGAGAGCTGCCCAAAGATCCTTGAGCAACTACGTGTACGTGCGGTGCGGTAGGCATCTGTCCAAAAAATACTACCTACGTATGCGAGTATAAGTAGGTATACCTGGAAGGGGTGCGTATTGCGTAGGACGTACATATACGAGTTTCGCCTCGGAGATAATTACC